CCTTCTGCCTGGCAAGGGGAGGATACAGGGTCCCCTTCACTTTGGCTTTGGTCTGTTAACTGTCCCTGTTTCTGCCTCAGGGAGGGTAGAGCTTGGCTCCATCAGTCTATCTCTCTCTCAGCCTCTCTGATGCTCCTTAACCTCTCCACTTCTTCACATAATTCTGCCACCAGGCTGAGCAGATCATCCACCTGGTCACACCTCAGGCAGCCAATCTCACTACCGCCTTCCCCTGCCAGTGCCAAGCTTAGACACTCTCTGCAGCCTGAGAGCTGGGTGGCTGCATGCTTCTGTGGCAGCTCTGTCTGTGTTGCCACATGCCTTCTGGCAAGCCCAGAGCTTAGGGTTTTCTGCCTGGTGGGTGCCATGGCTGAACTCCTTCTATGAGAGACTGATGACCACCAGTGGACTCCCCTCTTGAGCAGGTAGACTGACTAGGCCCTGCCTGCGCAAACTGCCGCGCTGGGCTCCAGGTCGCTAGCGCTCCCTAGGCTGCCTTTTATAGGTGTCAGGGCTGGGTGCCGTTGCTTTGGCAATGCCCAGGTCTCGTCAGCGTTTCCCGCGAGAGTGGTTGGCTTGTGGCAGGTCTCTTCCTGTTTTCCTGTCTCTGGGAAGTCAGGAAAAACCCCGTGTGCCTACATCTGCAGCTCCGCTGCGGGTCTCCTGTTTGAGAAGCTACTGACCTGGGTGCTAATTCCCATTCCAAAGACAGTGTTTTGACCTGTGCAGGATGCTTGAAGATATTGCACTTTGAATTATAATGGTAAAAGACAGAAACTTACTGTGGTATTATTAGAAGGTAGACAAGGCCAAATAAGGCAGCTAGAATTAGTGAGAGAACTACAGCACTGGTGAAGTACTCATCCTGAAGCTGGTGGTACTGTTAAAGGAAGAAATGAAGACAGTGAGCATTTTATACACACCCACCACTTGTCCATTCTCAGTAAGAAAGAACTATAGCCTAAAATAAAGCAAGCCCCTACCCATTTTACGAACAGAAATAATCATTGCTTAGTTCACATGAAAAAAAAGATGAGGCAAGTCTACACAACATTTTCCTTGACAGCCTTCTGTTTCGGCTGCTCGTGTTGGCCTAGCTGTTTGTTTTTTTTTTTTCCACCCTGTAACTAGTCAAATCTGAGTTAGGCTCAAACATAAGTTTATCTATTGGAGCAAAAAGGATTCAGCCATTTTGAACCAGAAGGAGGTGGCACTCCCTCCTCTCCACTTACTCATCACAAAAAAAGGCCAAAACCCCTTGGTGCTGCCTTCAAGGAATCCTGTCACCTCAGCTGCTCAAGACAGCACACTAACGGGTGGGCTGGAGGCAGCTGCTAATGAGAGACACTGGCTTAGTTTTGAACAGTTACTGTCCTTGATTCCACTAAGCCACAGTTCTTACAACAGAACACTTTTCAGCAGTAGAAACCTCAGAAAGGTCAAAATTTCAATCTCGTTTACACCGAGAGACTTTCTTATTTTGAAAGAAAACAATTATGATTAAATAATAAATCACTGTGGAAACTTGAAATCAAAGTTAATGCTCAAGACCTTAAAAAAATTAGTCCAATGTGGCACACAGCATTCTGAGTCAAAAGAGTAGTGACATGAAATCTTAGGCTATGAAGTGACTTACAGTGGAAAAATAAATGCTATTGCCAAATTAATCCAAAATCATATCACTTCTGCTTTTTCAAGCACATAAACAAAAGGGGTTTGTTTTTTTTTTTAATCAAAACAATTTGTATTTACAAACAAAATCCATACAAGGTAGGAACAAACAGCTCTACTTTGTTAGTTTATATGCATGCTTATAATTCTGGAGTAAGTCCACTGCTTTCAGCACAGTCACACTGGCATATATTTTCTATTACTTTTAATATTTTTTACTTATCATGTTGCATATGCAGAGGGAAGCATCCTCCTGTCATTAATGCTTCTCCAGTGCACATGGGTCAGTAGGCAGCCACATTGCCATAAGACAGCATTAAACAGGTGATGCAGGTCAGGCAGTTTGGAGAACCAAAAGTAAGGCCAAAACACAGGATATGTAACTTTATGGGGGAGGATCTTGATGAGTAAAAAGATATTGATCTTTCTTTTTATCCCCTCCAAGTGATTCCACAGAAGGTGGAGGTAATGCCTCCCTCTTAACTGAGAAACAGTCCAGAGGATTATTTAAAGATGGTGAGTAGAATTTAAGTATTGTTTAAAAACAAACAAAAAACCAATGCTAGCTGGCTCATGATAAATGAAATCAGTAAAAATAATTTTAAACCCCCTTACTTTTTTTTCACGTTCAATTTGCTTATACTTCAGGGTAATGAAGTTCAAGTCAGCCATCTCAGACTCTGTTTGCCGGGCCTCTATCAAACGGCTGATGTATCTGTTTACTCGAGTTCCTGGAGTGTTGTATACAACATTGGTAGAAAAAGAGGAACGATTCCTGAGTTTTTCAGAGGCTGTCCTCAATGCTCTCCTCTGTAGCACAGATGAAGAAAGAAGCAAAGATTTTATTAACATTGAAATTTATCATTGCTGTTCATACTATCTCAAGCTCACAGCTAGGATGAGGAATTCATTAAGCAGAGCAACTACAAAAGACAGATATCTTATCTCCATGTGATTGTTGTCTTCTAAAAACGTAGCTGAAATCCCAATCTCATTAAAATCAATGAGAAAACCCCCCACTGCATTCCAGGATTTCAGTCTTGATCTGCAGAAATTCTCTTCACATACTGCCCTGATATTTCTCTGCCACTGAGGAAATAATCAGTTTGATCTCAGTCAATGTGATTTTACCTAGAAAAAATAATTAGAATTTTTTTCTTGACAGAAGACATGGAGCTCTGGACATCCTGAAGACAAGATAACTAGGCTCTCATGTTACAAGACAAGTCCTACTGTCCAAGACTGTCTAGGTAGCAATATATGTTTTGACAAGATACTTTTCCTTAACCTCTTGCACAGTGACCGTATGTGACTTCAGAGGGTCCGAAATCTCAAGTGTTCCTTCCTTTGACTCACTCAAGTGGCTCTTTTGTTAAGACCTCCTGGGAATGCCTTAAGTGCACTTGCAGACCCAGACGGAGCAGTTCAATAAATTATCAGAGCTAACTTGTGCCTTGCTGGGGTTAATTCCTCCATGGCTGAGACAGCACAACTGACCAGATGATCACTCATAGCCCTATTCAGTGCAAAAGAGTTATCACAGAGCATATCTGAAAGGGATTTTAGACAATCTGTCTCACTTTTCACAGAAAGCACTCAGAAGACGATGAGCAGCATCTCAGCCACACTGGTGGTAACCTTCAGTTGAGGGCACCGTAATCTAAACCGTTATGGCTAGATCTGCACTAGGATGACTGCCCATGCCCCAGCACATTGAAAGGGTCAGGGCCTTCACAAAATACTCTTGTAGATGCAGCATTTTTTAAACACAGAGTGAGAAAGATATAGGCCAATCTTGTAAAAGAAAAACCAGTCACCTAATGGTTAGCACTTTGAGTAGGAAGAAAGAGATATCAACTGAATATCCTTTTTACCTCAAAAGAGATCAAGCCTTACTTCCCAGAAGAGTTTTGACAACCAAACATGCAAGTTGTACTATTTTAGCACAATTAAAGGAATACTTTTTTATCTAACATCTGCAGAGTTTGAGATAACAATTCAAAACATTATGAAATGACAAGTCTGCTCAGGGATAAGGATAGCATTGGCTCAGGATATAATCAGTAGAGTCTGTCAGCAAGCTGGTACAAAAGTGTACAAAATTTCTCTCTTCAGAGCAGTCAGTACTTAATAGCCCACTCTTTAAAGTCTATACTGTTTATATCCTTTCAAACTAGATGGTAGAAAGAGGTGGTGATTGCTATTTAAGTAATTCTGCACGAATGGCAGTTTCCTGTTTTATTCCACAAGAAGTAGTTCTCATAAGATCCTCACCAGTGAACAAACAGTGGACTACAGCAGTTCAGGAGTTAAATAGCTTATACGTATATTATACCTGAATACTTATGAAGAGTGGGAAGGGTTAACTGCTGACTGATACCTTAGTTTTCTGATTGTAAAGAATGGACCTTAGCAAAGATAAAATAACTTTCCAAGTCCTGTTTTGCTGGCTTTATATGTAAAGAGCAGGTTATACCAGCATTAAACAATTATCAGGCTACTCGAAGCATTTTTCTTTAAACTATCAGCTCCCGTTATTTGATAAGTTGTCTGTGGTGTAAGAATTGTTTCAACATGAAAAATAATCTTGTGGACATACATAGATTAGAGCTTTCAAATCCAATCTTCTGGGTTCTGTTAGCCCCCGTAAAAATCTTAAATTGTCAGCCAAACAACTATTCTAAATGTTTCTAAACAGAGATAAAGTTCTCTTGCAGAAGACATTTGTCCTACAAGTTTGTAGGGAAGCTGAGTGCTTTCAGGAATACTGTCAGGAAGACATATTTTGCTCTTCATAAAGATAAACAACAATTAGTTAGTATCTGTATTGCTTAAGGTGCAGCAGAAAGTACATCTTTGGGGGTATTTTAAAATCCAAATTTAAGCCTATAGCATAATAACAGGGGTGAGCATTAAAAAAAAAAAAAAAAAAAAAGAAAATGCTTCTTTGCTTTAAAATCTGGAATGAGTGTACGCAATGGGAGTTATTCTGATATATGGAATAAATTATATTATCTATTCTGCCATTTTGAAATAGGGTTAAAGTTACTGTGCTAAATAGCTATTGCTCACATATAATTATTTTCACCAGGTCTCTTATTTTTATCTCTATTATTATTTCACACATATGTCTTTATGTCTTATATGCGATCAAGATCCAGTATTTATATTTCTCAGAAATTAAATTAAAAAATACATGCTACAGATTGTGTTGGCTTCAAAGCCTTTATAGCCATAACTTGTTTCACATCATTTGAGGACTGATAATGCTGAAGAAACCCCGCATTGCAACACAGTGTATTTATATTAAAATCATATATCATGCATAAACATTCCAAAAGCTCAGAACAACTGGTTCAGTTAAAGATAGCATTGTAGAACTTCACTGCAAATGTTCTGACATGAGAAAATTTTCATTAGATCCCTAGCAAGCCCATATCGGGATTTTCTGCGTACGCTACCATATTTATATATACATACACAGAAGACACACTCTGAAGTATTGCATATGCTTCAAAGAATGTGTGGGTTACTTTTTTTAAATACTCAAAGAACAGTACTAATTCACCATTGGAAGGCCTTGTACATGGCCAATTTCAAAATCAAATCTGAATTTACTGAAAGTCTTCACTGAAACTGTTTTAAAGGTACTAATGGACTTTTCTCCCCTTTTCCCACACAAGAAACACAAGCACATGTAAAATCCAAAATATAAAAGTTAGAATGCTTTGTGAAAGTAAGATTTAGAGTGACTCTTCAATAAATATACATTATTTAAATAATAAAAAAAAAAAAAGGTGGAGCAATCATTCAGGATGAATTACTGATTCCAGTGCACACACGCCCTGCTTTGGAGCACTGGTGGAGTGACCTATGTAATATTGTCACCTGCTGGCAAAAAAAATTGAATGACCCACTCCTCAAAAATTTTTCTCCATAAATTTCTGGGTAGATCCACACACAGAAAAGGAAGTAAACCAGGCTACTGGTTTGTAAAGCAATTTTGAGTTATGACATTACAAGCCATTCAAGAAAGTGGTATTCATATTTGTATTAGGGACTTTTTTTTATTTAGGATTTGTATTATGGACTAAGAGGGTTTTTGGCTAATCAGTTGCCTTTCATTTTTTGAAGAACCATCTAGAGATACAACATTATTCTGTTATTTTGCATGTACTGTCATCAGCTTCAGGCTATGATGGACTCATGATGCAAAAAGGCAGCTCTTGGTAATTGCAGAAAAAGCCTCAGAAACTCTAACTCCTGTGGAGAAAGCCCTTAATAGAAGCCACACAGGCCACCTATGCTGGCTTGTTCAAGAGAGGGTCCAAATTTGAGGCCTGTTATAATTAAGTTTTATCTTTACTGTGAAAAGGCTGTGGACATTAGATAGCTCTAGCTCCAGAAGGAACACCAGAAACTCCTCTATCAGTTGGCCAGGTCACCCCATATGTTCTCACAGCATGTCTGCTTGCTGTGACCCTGGAACCAATGCCCAAAGAGCCCACATGATTACCTTATCGTCATCCTCACACGTCATGACGTTGGAGAAAGGGATCTCTGCTTTGAACATCTTACGACAGTGCATGAGTTGAACAAGCAGGTAGCAGACTGTCTTGAACTTCATTCTTTTGGCAGGCTTAATGTCTGAAAGAATCAGTCCAGGAAATATCTGTTGGCCAGAAAAATAATATTTATAATTGTGTAATTACATTCCCATGCAGACATACATACCTGCAGACATTTACACCATCTAGTGGTCAGAATAAAGCAATATTCTAATAAAGAAGGAATGCATTTTGACAAACAACATGTATTTGCAGATGAAGATTACTTTATCTTTTTTTTTAACATGTGATATAAATAATCTATTGAACAGACAGTATTTAAACACATACTTAACATTTTGGGAACAGTTTTCTACATACAAATGTAGACTATTAAAAAAGTATGTTAATGACAAACTCATATAAGAGGCAATATTTGTATTTCTTTAACCTTAAATTCTGGAAAAATACAGAAGAAAATAAGGAGAAAATTAGTATTCTTATTAATTGATGCTAAAAAATATAATTTTGTTCTTATTGTTCTTGTATAATTTTTTCTTATTTCTTCATTTTGTTGCTTCAGCCACTGGTAAGCCCATTAAAATCAGAAAAGGATAGCTTTTGTTTTAAAGATATGGTTAAATATATACCCTAAAAGGAGACTGTGAGGCACTGAGGTTATATCTTACATCTTATTTCTTCAAAGCAAGAAGTGTTATACTACAGAGAAATATTTTCAAAGGGTTGGATATAATCTACTCCCTTCACCACAGATGTCCCAGTTCAGCAAGGACAAATATTTTCTTGGTTAACTCTTAAGCATGTATTTAACTCTTGCTGACTTTAGTAAATCCCTAGCACATGTACAGATGCTTTCACAGATCAGAATAAGAGTCATCCTTTATTCTACTGTCAGTATTCATACCAATCTTATTCATCCTTCTGGCATGTGGAATACGTAATGTTCATGGGAAATGTGGAAGGACTCCATGTCACCACAGTATGGGAATTGTAAAGCCTGTAAAATTAATCTTTTCTGGAACAGCAAAATAAAGAAGCACAGAGGATTTGGTTCCTAGTGTTCCTAGGTACAAAAGACAGAGCAAATCACATTCCAAAATCTTTATTCAAATGCTCTAAAACCCACAAATGGCACTGAGGATTTGCTGTCCAGCAGTTTACATCATTACTTCAGCGATCAAGGAATGAAGAAGGAAGTAAACTGGAAGCATTTGTTTAATGCATGTTTTCATGGATACCTAAATTTAGAGAGAAAAGACAAATGAAACTGCTTATATTCTGAATGGCATTGGTTTGCTATGCTGTTTAATGCATACAGCTATGCACTTGCACTTTCTGGAGAATCAGGAGTATATCCTATCGACCTACCAATACTCTGTTTAGTCAGTTACACTGAGGCTATGAAACAAAAAAATGACTTGTGTGTAAATAGTTGCACATTTTTTTATTAGCAGATGTCTGTGTTATAAACATGTGACTTTTCAAATGTGGAAAGGTGTCTAGGTATGCACATGTGCTTTATTGTGCACTGAAAGGCTGACTGAAGCCAGCCAGCATCACCAGCACTGTACTGCATGATCATCAGCTGGAATCTAAAAGGACACTAGTGTGTCTAGTGTGTAATCACTTGTATAAGTGATAGTTTAACGAAAGTCTCCATGAAGAGATTCCCAATACGAACCCTTTTTTTGAGGGCTTTCTGGCAAAGACTTATTGCTGTATTGCAATACTGCATAGAAGATACTGTACAAGGATATTCACATATTAATCATCCTTTAGGTATTCCTAAGGACACCAAGTAGATAGTTGTTAGGCTTGAGTATGGCAGATATGATCAGCTTTTGAGCTACCATTCCCAATAGCTAAAACATACTTTTTGAACCTCACTCACAAATTTTCCTAATGTAGCCGTAATTCCTCTAGAAGTACTATATATTTCACTCAGTCTCCCAATCAACCTTTTGATACAACAAAAATGAGCAGCTTTCTTGAAACTCCCTCCAGTTTTGCATTTCCCTTCATTTTTTTTAAAGACACAGAGATAAAAAGGGAATACACAGAAGTTACCAGGTGGACTATATGTCAAGAGATCATTAGCTCTTTCTTTGCTCAAACATTTCACTGTGGACATTGCATTAACTAGGTCAAAAACTTTGGGTTTAGGTCTCTGTTAGACTGGCTGGAAAAGATGCTCTTAAAAGTACAGAGAGCTACAGAAGCGGCCTGACAGCTTTCATTATGGAAATGCCACAGTAATGGTGCAACAGTGACAAACAATAGGTAGAACACCTTACTAGCAAAAGATTCAAGAAGGCATGACTGAGAAAGGTGAGCATATGGGCATGACTATATCCTCCTACAAGGATTTGAAGAACTGTGAAAGGAGAAGAATTTAGACTTTTGTCGATGCAAACCTCTTATAATTTATGTGTTTCTGAGAACAACCTGAAGCTTGAAAACTTGGAATGGATACAGTTTGGCTCAGGCAGTGTGGCCTTGCCACCAACATGACTTTTCCTCAAACACATATGTTTATGCAGTTTCCTGACTACATCTCCAAATAAGTAGGTAGAACCTTTTTAGCTCATACCATGGACTGCTCTTTTCATTTATAAATCTTACCGGCAGATAATATATCAATAGTATACACCCTGTGTATATTGGAAATACAGGGGAGTTTTCCAGCTGTCTTGGAGTCAAGTAGAAGTTTTTCAACTCAGGTCACTGAAATAAATAGAGTACTGTGCCTACTTCTGGGCTCCCCAATACAGGAAAAACAGTGACAAACCAGACTGAGCTCAGCAAAAAAAACCCCAAACCCTAAACAATTAGGGGTCTAAAGTATACAACATATGAGAAGAACCTGAGGGAATTCAGGTCATTTAGCTGGAAGAAGAGAAAGCTAAGGAGAGATCTAATTCATGTCTTCAGCCACCTAAGTAGTAGTTAGAAGGCAGAGCCAGACTTATCCCAAAAATGCTCAGAAAAAGCACAAGAGGCAATGAACATAGGCCGGACCAAGGGAAATTCCTATTCCATACAAGTAACAGCAGTTTTAACTATGAGGATGATCACATGCTGAAGCAGGCTGCCTAGAGAGGCTGCTGAATCTCCAGCCAGGGAAACACTCAGTACTCAGACAAGTTGCCCTGAGCAACCTACAATTTCAAAAGTGGATATAACTCCAAAGGCCCCTTCCAAATTCAGCTACTGTGTGATGCTATGAAAACGTGTTCTTCATTGCTGGCCAAGAACCTATCCACTCAAAGTACATTGCAATACACACAAGGAGGGCACGCTGGCAGTTCTCAGATCATGTATAATTTTATATATAGGGGGTTTTTTGGGGGGCGATGTGTGTTAATCTGGTGGTTGCAGGACATACAGATGGGTCATTGCTGGGACACTGGGACTGACGAATTTCCATTCTACTATATATATACACAATATCAAAAATACAAACAAAGGAATTCTCTCTCACCTTCACCTTACAAATCATGTCCCTTTTTTATCATTACTTTTACAGCAGAACAAACTTTTGACACAGTGAACTTCTGAGTTTAAGTAATCTCACCTTCTACCATAAGCTAAGGCAAGAAATGCAGTACAGTCTGTTAAAGCAGACTTTAAACAAAAAACAAAACAAAACAAAAAAACCCCAAACAACCCCAAAAACAATAACGAAAAACCCAATCCCAATGTCTTTCATTCTGCCTTTTCTCTGAACTTGCTCCAGGCCAGCACTACAGGAAAGCTGGACTGCAGCATTCTCATTCCAGCTCATTTTGTCAATGCATTTTACTTTCACACTTCTTTTTGACCCTCGGGATCATCTCTGATTCTGTTCACTGTTCATTTGCTTTGGAATTTTAGGAAAGGTTGGTTGTTCAATGCAACACAGCTGGCAAATAAGGTTAAGAGCTGGGATTTTCTAACAGAGCACTCTGAAAGCAGCCACACTATCTACAGCTTTGTGAGCATTTTTAAGTATGCAGAAAACAAGCAAGTGCTGATTAAAATTCTGGGAAAACACCCCAGTGTTTGAATCTCATGTAATACTCTGGTAAGGGATTCACTGGTGCTTATCTGGGATTCTCAATAACAGCAGCAGACTGTTGTTCCCCTGACTATATTCAACCGCAGTGCTTAAAATGGCATGGGAAAGAAGATAATAATGACATTCAAAACACATTTACAGAAACCATAAATGCTGTAGCACTATGTCTGTCTGTGTTTTCTATCTTCAGGCTGGCAGGACCATGCCTCTTGGTAGTAGTGTTTGTTCCATTACTATCTGCAAGCCATTTTGTCCTGAGATGATAGGTGAGCAAATCTTATTTTTTTTTTCCTTCTATACAGTTAAAATCATCAGGCATTTGCTTTTCTATCCTTTTCCACTGCCCTTACGATACACTTTGCTTATCACACCTCAGCTGTCCATCAGGAAAGTATGTTAGTGATTTTTACCAGTAAATAATACAGCTTCTGTAGGGCAAACTCTTAACATTAAGAATGGTGTGGCCACTTTCTCAACAGAGATGTAGAAAATGTTTTTTGCAGCTGTGAAGATTAAAACAATTTCTAGGAGATCAATAACGGAGAAAATCTTATAGCAGTGCTCTATGTTTCTCCCTTTTACAGATTCCACATTACCAGAGGAAGAAAAGAAGAGAGGAGAATGATGTTAGAGCACATAACTAATTCCACCATCACTGACAGCCCAAGGTGCGGGCTGTCACATTGACGATGAGGCACTAGCAGCTTCACAGCAACTGCAGAAACAATCCTGAAGATGTACAGTAACATACTCTGCAACACAAGCATCATTCCTCTGTCTGTATTTGCTGGGTGGTAACACAAGCAGTCTACTTCCAGTGCTGGGGTGCGTATATTCCAACACTTATGCAATGCAAAGTCACAAGCACAGATCAGACCCTGTCCAGATACAAGCCAGAGCTTCCATCAAAGGCTGTGTGTCTATCTGTTAAATCAGATCTGCTAAGGTATATCTGGGGTGCTAAAACCTGAAATGCCCAAGTTATGCATTCAGATCTCTAGTTAAGTTCCTTGGTAGAAGCTGTCAGCCATTTGAGAGCAAAGACCA